GGTCCAGGGGTGTGGCCTTCTATTGCCCTCTTCTGGTACAGTTCTGAATTCATCATGGATTTCTGTACCTCCTCTAGGGGTTGAGGCTGTTTTTGTGTTAGTGTCCTAAGGGCAAGTGTTTATTGTCCATTCCCCCAAAGATTCAAGCTTTTCTATAGAGGAGAAAGGAGAAAATGGTCTGAATGAAGTTTCTTGCCCCTCCTGCATGTCTGCTCTGCCTTCTTCCAGTTCTGTGCCTTGAGAGAGATTTTTCAGAGCTCTACCGATCTTTCACTGAATGTCCACTTGTGTTTGAGAAGAAAAAGCGTGCAAGGTGCAGATTTATTGAATATTTGTGGCCCCTAGAGGTTTTTACTGTTTGACAAATCACACTGTAGCAATTGGACACTTGCCTTAGATGAACTCTTATTGACGTCTATGTCTTGCCTAGGCTAGTCAATATTTACATCTTGTCTTTCTCTGTAGGCTTGTGTCTCTCCTTGGATTCTGGGACAGTTGGTTGTTCTGTCACTTCAGCCCCAGAATGAGTTGAAGAAAAGTTGTGATCTTGCTGTTAGTCCATTATTTTATTATTTTATGTATGCTTTTTTCCAGCTCTCTACATCTCTGAGCAGAAATTGGAGGATACAATTGATTTTTGTATACTGACTTTGTATCTTGTAATCTTGATACATTCTCTTAATAGTTCTGGTAGATGCTCAGTAGATTCTTGCATAGTTTCTACCTTTTTACAATATATAATAAAGATTTCTTTTTAATATTTATGCCCTTTTTCCCCCTTATTGACTGGTAAGGACTTCTGGTACAATGTTGTGTGGAAGTGGCAAAGCTGGCATCTCTGCCTTGTTTTCAGTCTTGGGGGGAATATTCAGATGTTTACCATTAATTATAATGTCAGATTTAAGTTCTTTTGGTAGTATTTTATTTATTAGGTTGAGGAAGTTCTCTTTAATTCTTACTTTACTGATAGGTTTTTTAAAAGTCATAAACAGGTATTGAATTTCTCAAATGTACTTTTTGTTCATCTCTTGCATCAGTCAGATGGTGCTTTTTTTATCCTATTAATATGGTGAAATTCATTTATTGATTTTTGGGTGTTGAACTAACCTTGCCTTTCTAGAATAAATGCCAATTGCTCAAGATCTATTATGATTTTTATATACTAGTAGATTCTATTTGGTAATATTTTAAAAAGATTTTCAATTATGCTCATGGAAGATATTGATGTTAAATTTTCTTTTTTTGCAATGTCTTTTTCAGGTGTTTATATTGATATTATTTCTACTCATAACATGAGTTGGAAAAAATGTCTTCCTCTTCTATTTTGTGAAGTTTATGTGAATTTTTCATTAAATCCTTGACAGAATTCAACAGTGAAATCAGCTAAGCCTGGAGATTTCTCTGTGGGAAGGTTTTTGATTACAATTTTTCTTTAATAGATATGTGGCAATACAGATTTTCTATTTCCCATTGTGTCATTTTTATAATATGTTTTTTCTAAAGAATTTATCTATTTTCAAATTTGTTGGCAAAAAGGTGTTTACGGTATTATATTATTATTATTATTATTTATTATTTATTTAGCTTTATTGAGGTATAATTGACAAATAAAAGTTATGTATACCTGTTCAACTATGTTTTGATATATGTAAGCATTGTGGAATAATTAGCACAATCAAGCTAATTCACATATCTATCACCTCACATAGTTACCATTTTGTGTGTATGTGGTAAGAACACTTAAGACACTCTCAGAAAATTTAAAGTATATAATGCAGTGCTGTTAACTATATTCACCATTAGATCTTCAGAGCTTATTTATTTTGCTTAAATGAGACTTTGTACCCTTTGACCAACATCTCTGCATTTCCCCCCACCATCTAGCCCCTGTCAATTGAAATTCTCCTCTCTGCTTCTATGAGTTTGACTATTATTTTAATATCTGTGTGGTCTGTAGTGCTATTCCTTCTTTCATTTCTGATAGGGGCAATTTGTGTTTTATGTTTTTTTATTAGTCTAGCTAAGTGTTTATCAATTTTCTCAATCTTTCAAAGCAGCTAATTTTGGCTTATTTAATTTTCTCAAATACGTGTTTACTTTCTAATTCTTTGATTTCTGCTTTTATCTTAATTTATAGTTTTTATTTCTCTGTTGAGATTTTTGTCTCTTTATTCATCGCATGCATACTTTAAGTCCTTAAGCACACTTATAACAGTTGCTTTGAAACACCTCTCAGCAAATCTCACACCCAGGTCATTTTGGTGTTATTTTCTATTGAAGGTCCTGAGATTCAGGACGTTTTAGAATGTATCCTGGATATATGAATATTACACTGTGGTTTTAGGATT